ATGAGATTACAACATTTTGACTATTTAGCTGAAATCCTGAAAGAGAAAGATCTATATACAGTATGTAACAGAAGTGAGTACACCCCTCCACATTTTGTAAACATTTAAGTATATCTTTTCAGGTGACAACACTGAAGAAATGACTAGAATGTAATGTAGTGAGTATACAGCTTGTATAGCAGTGTAAATGTGCTGTCCCCTCAAAATAACACAACACACAGCCATTAATGTCTAAACTGCTGGCAACGAAAGTGAGTACACCCCTAAATGATAATGTCCAAATGGGGCCCAAGTAGCCATTTTCTCTCCTTGGTATCATGTGACTCGGTAGTGGTACAAGGTCTCGGGTAAGAAGAGGGAAGAGGTATGTTAAATTTGGTGTTATCGCTCTCACTCTCTCATACTGGTCACTGGAAGTTCAACATGGCACTTCATGGCAATGAACTCTCGGAGGATCTGAAAAAACGAATTGTTGTTCTACATAAAGATGGCCTAGGCTATAAGAAGATTGCCAAGACCCTGAAACTGAGCTCTAGCACAGTGGCCAAGACCATACAGAAGTTTAACAGGGCAGATTCTACTCAGAACAGGCCTCGCCATGGTCGACCAAAGAAGTTGAATGCCCATGCTCAGCATCATATCCAGAGGTTGGGTTTGAGAAATGGACATATGAGTGCTGCCAGCATTGCTGCAGAGGTTGAAGGAGTGGGGGGTCAGCCTGTCAGTGCTCAGACCATATACCCACGTTGCATCAAATTGATCAGCAGGGCTATCATCCCAGAAGGAAGCCTCTTCTAAAGATGATGCACAAGAACGTCCGCAAATTGTTTGCTGCAGACAAGCAGACTGCATGGGTTTCTGGAACCATGTCCTGTGGTCTGATGAGACCAAGATAAACTTATTTGGTTCAAATGGTATCAAGTGTGTGTGGTGGCAACCTGGTGAGGAGTACAAAGACAAGTGTGTCTTGCTTACAGTCAAGCATGGTGGTGAGAATGTCATGGTCTGGACTGCATGAGTCCTGCTGGCAGTGGGGAGCTACAGTTCATTGAGGGAACCATGAATGCCAACATATACTGTGACATACTGAAGCAGAGCATGATCCCTCCCTTAGGAGACTGGGCCGCAGGGCAGTATTCCAACATGGTAACGACCCCAACACACCTCCAAAACGACCATTGCCTTGCTAAAGAAGCTGAGGGTAAAGGTGATGGAGTGGCCAAGCATGTCTCCAGACTAAACCCTATTGAGCATCTGTGGGGCATCCTGAAATGGAAGGTGGAGATGCACATAGAGATCTGTGACATTGTCATGGAGGAGTGGAAGAGGACTCCAGTGGCAATCTGTGAACCTCTGGTGAACTTTATGTCCAAGAAGGTTAAGGCAGTGCTGGAAAATAATGGTGGCCACACAAAATATTGACACTTTGGGCCCCATTTGGACATTATCACTTGGGGGGGGAATCACTTTGTTGCCAGCAGTTTAGACATTAATGGCTGTGTGTTGTGTTATTTTGAGGGGACAGCACATTTACACTGCTATACAAGCTGTATATTCACTACTTTACATTCTAGTCATTTCTTCAGTGTTGTCACCTGAAAAGATATACTTAAATATTTACAAAATGTGTGGGAGTGTACACCTGTGATATACAGTATAATGTCACCAGCACAACTGTAAAAGAAATACATAAGAATTATGTTTCTTATGTTGTATATTTGAAGTAAAAATGTCAAAAGAATCCTTTAACAGTGTTCTTTATAGACCTAAGAAAGCTTGAGCCATGTTTCAGTTTACATTTTAATAGCTTATGTCCTATATATATAAGATGGAAAATACAGATTTCTTTATTGCCTGAATAAACTGTAGAAGAACCTGTGAGGTAATCCCATAGTTTAGGCTATGTCTAAGCTAAAGGGTTTAGCAGAGTTGAAGCAAACACTTCAGTGAATTACTCTCCTGGCAATTAATATGCAGCCAGGGAGCTGGGCTGAAAATATATTTTATAAAGAGTGCAAAAGTCCATTTGTAATCAGAGGCCCAGGAAAGCACAAAGTCAATTTAGAACCTTGGTCAGAATTGAAGAAGCAGTCTGAATGTTTAGGGCAGGATTTGACAAGCTGTCAGAAGAGCACATAAGATATGGATGTTGTTTCCTTTGCTAAGTTACTTCCAGATAGAGTGTTTTATATAAAAAACTTCAAGACTCTATTCACAATAAAAAGATTGTTCTGAGAAATTGATGTGAGAATTTGGGGTCAAACTTGCCATGATTACATGGGACGTATCTTCATTGCTTGCTTACTAAGCCCTGGATCAGTAAACATATTGGCTTCTAAGGCCTTTCCTGGCTTCTTATCCAAGGATCAGTCTTCTATGAGGGCTATTACAGTTTCTTGTCAGTGTGACCATATGAATGCCAGTTTTTCCAATGCCTTGTCTTATATTTTCCTAATATTCCTCATTAATTTATATGATTCATTATAATCCTTCATTTTGCTGATTTTATAGTTTGGTGTTGTTGCATTTGTTACTTTTGTGGAATAGAATAAAAAGGTAATACTACTACTCACAAAGAGTGAATTACAAGTAGTTTTTGACTTATGACCATTCGAAGTTATAACCTGCCTGAAAAAAAGGACATGCCTGGATCTGAAGTTCCAACAGTTGCCCCCACCCCCACCCCCACATTCACATGACTGCACTTCGGGTGCTCGGGCAACACGGCTGCATTTACACCTGTTTGCAGCATCCCACAATCATGCGACCACATTTTTGCTGACAGCCACACCATAATGGGCTCACTTAAGAACTACAGCGTTTGTTAGCAACTGCTGCAAAAAACATAAAATTGACTGTTACAACTTATTATCATAATGGCAGGCTCCATTATAATCATAACTCAAAGATTACCTGTAAGCTCCTTGCCATGCCTGCCAAGAGAGTGCACTCCCACCGTAATGAGAGCACCAGTCACAAAGCATAAGCACCCTCCCTCCTCACTAGTTTGCACAATGGACTATCAGAGTAGGGGAGAACTGGGTGCCAGGACACCTACTCAGTTGGCTGCTCTTCTGCTCACATGTAACATTCATGTTAGAATATTCAGGTACCTGGAGGTCAGCAAGCAGCCAAAGGGAGCAGTGTGTAATATCAACCCTAGCAAGCCCACTGCCATTGTACAACAGCCAGGCTCCTCACACTGCACAACTCTCAGTGAAGGCCAAGCAAATCTCAAGTCTTGTTTTGAAACTACTAGGGTTCCAGTAGTCTTTCAATGTAGCTTGGTGAAGTAGTTAGAACAAATTTAGGCAGTTTGGTCTAGCGGTTAGGACACCGGTTACAAAGCAAAAGATATTAAATTCTAATCCAACTTTAGGCTTGAAAGTTGGTTGGGTGACTTTTGGCCAATCACTGTCTCCTGTCCTAAGACATCTCACAGTATTGTTGTTGTGAGAAAAATAGGAGGAGGAATGAGTATTAAGTATGTCTGTTGCATTAAGTTATTTATAAAAATAATAAAGGCAAGGTTAAAAAAACCCTAAATCTAAATTTGGATTTATAGAGTTGAGGTATATACCGTAGTAATCTTTTCCCAAAAAAGGGAAATGGAAGAAAACGAAGGTTATGTTGAAGTTGCAATCTTGTGAATTATTCATCATTTTCAATAGGAAGTTCATCATTTTCAATAGGAAGCTGCATTTTAGATTTTTTCCTGAAGCCAATCTCTAACTTTTAAATTAGTTTGAAATTGGCATTTGGAATCCGATTTGTTTGAAATTGGCATTTGGAATCCAGCATTAACAAAGTGTGTCCCCAAGTCTGGGACATTCCTTCATTTTATTTTATTGATAACATGTATATAACATAATTATCCACGTACAGACCCATGATATTTGCATTGCAAAAATGTTTTTGAATGCCTTATGTTACATTAGCTAAAGCCATTTCCAAATCCAGAGGCAAACTATAAACTAATGGATGCACTGAAAAACTGCTATTGCTAAAGGGCATGGAGAAAAAAGTAAAAATATTTCTGATGAAAATACTGTAATGCAAGATACTATTAGTGATGTGTAAATAAATATACATGTTATTGATTTTACTCTCTTGTATTATCATGCGAGAATATGGATCTTGTATTTGGAAGTGAAGATGCAATAATAAAAATCTTCATGTACCTTATATAGGTATTTAATATTTATGTATTTAATATTTATTCCTTTCAGATACTTTTCTTCTGCAAATTTCCCTATTAATACCATTTTAATTTTTTTGTAGTCTCATGGGAATAATAACAATACAAACAATAAATTGAATTCCAAATTTAATCTAAACACTGGGCTGATTGTGTGACAAACTATAATTATTAAACTCGTATGCTACCCAACTCTCAGTATAACTCTGTTTTTAATATAACATGTTCTTTTTCAGACACATTGTTCTTACACAAACATTCTTTTTGCCTGGATTTTTTACAGAAAAGAATTAACCAATGTCTTTATTCAATGCTACGGTACATATCTCAGTGTGTATTGTTGTATTGTTGGAGCTCACAAATGTCCTTACCCTAGAAATCTATGGATGTTAATTTTACATTCTTACTATCATAAATTAAAGAACTGTTATTAATTTCTTTTTATTGAAATAATTTTTCATATAGATTAATTCTTAAAAGTTGGCATGTTCTTTCTTCTTTATATCCCTGAATATTGGCAGTCTCATATTAATTCAATTTCATATAAATGTCACAGTTTCAGCTATCAGAAATCAGATGTTAGATATAGCAGATTAAATCTCCATTTAATGTTGCCTATACTGTTTATTGTAAGGTTATCTTAAGAATAATGATATTGATTTTTAAATGGGGTTCATTAATAATCTATTAATGATACTTAATCTATCATAACTTTGTTTACATATCTTTTCATTAGATGTATAATAATAAGAGGAACACAGAGCTCTAATCTAACTTCTTCTTCTTCTTTTTTTTGTCCTTCAAACATAGAAATCATTGAGTTGTTTTGAGATCCAGTTTCTCCCCTTTTGTAGTTGGGCAGTGATGGATTAGAATTAGGCTGCATCATGCATTGGGAAAATATCCCAGCATCCTCTTTATGCAGAGGCATCATCTGCCAGTACTGCTGTAGCTGCAGTCCTGTCAACGGATATTTCTTGTAAAATCGGATGCAGAGGATTCCTGCTGCTGTGCGAACTTTTGCATCTATTCTGTTTCATAACTAATAAGAAGCCCACTGGTAACGAGGAATAAGGAAATGGGACCTTTTTAGGGTGTTACTGGCTGGGGTTTTTTTCCTGTCTGTGACAGAAATGAATCAGCTCTGCGAGAGGCTTATCTTCAGATAGCAATTTGCAGTTAATCATCTAGAAGTTGCCTAATTTAATTCTGTGAGTATACTGTGTCTTTTCTCAACATTGGAGCTGCTAAAATTGACTGCAGAAAACCTGTGTGTATTATTTTCTGGGAAATCACTTCATATGAGGGTTTTTATTTTGAAAATAGGTAGTAAGCTTACTGATGATAGTAGAGGGAGTTCAGGATGTACTCTATTCTGATGATCCTGGGGAAATTTACATTTAAGAGTTAATTTCATAAATTATTGTTTTTCCTTTTATCTTTGTAATTTCTATCTATCAGCTTTATTGCTATGCTTCTGATTGTATAAATTATCTCTAGCTTGATCATTTGTGTATATAGAAATACTTCTTGAAACTGCTACAGAGATAAGATTACATGTCTGTAAAATATGGCAGGTAGAAAAATTCTTGATGAATCAATTGCTTATGTCATCTAACAATTTTCATATTCAGTTTAACTAGAGTTGTTATTTTGTAAGCTCATAAGCTAGCAAGCATGTTATAATATTATTCCATCTCATTACATTTAGAACTGCTCTCACTACTGTAATATATGATTCAGGCAGCATACTTTTTGCAGCTTCATAGCAATTTATATGAAATCATAGAAAAAGGACCATTCAGTCATGATCATGTGACTGGATCTGAGCCATTATTTGAATGACGCAGTGGGAGTACTGTAGATATTTGATTTGTTTGCCTTTTGTGCTGGCTAACCTATTATTAAGCTCTGGGAACCTTCCTTTTATTATTATGAGGTGATATTATAGTTAACTGTTCCCAGTTAATATGCTCTTTTTGTGTGCATTTTTAGTTTTTTGTTTGGTGAATCATAATCACAATCACAATTTCGTCCTTTGCTACTTCTAAGCTAGTAAATCAGCTATTATCCCTAAGGAAGACCTAATCTGCCCCACCCAGATCAGAGATTTTAGTCATCTTTTGTACTTCCTGAATGTTCAAGGTAATTTTGATTTGAAATGTTGATTATAAATCTTCCAACAAATACTAATTAAGACTTAAGTGATGATTCAATCTTGGCTTTAATACACTAAAATAAAATCAATATTTTGTAATAAAATATGCTATCTATCTTTCAAGCATGTAATTATGCCTGCAATTTTTTTAAAATTCACAGATTAATACATAATTAGCATGGCTCAGTGATTTATGCATATGTAACTTAATGTATTATGAATAAAACTGAAAGTAGTCTTGTTGTAGGGAATTATCCTTTTGTTAATTTCTCCTTTTGTAAAAGGGAATATGACTCTCCAATAGAGAACAGGAACATATTACTCTAAAATGGATTTAAAGAAGAGAGAAAAGAAACTGTTTTTGTAGCACTACTCCTCATAATATTTGTTTAATAAAGCAGAGAAATATTAGTTTTTAAAAGACTTGCTTTAACTAGGTTGAAAGATATATTTGTTACTTCAGAGATGCTAATTACCAATTGCCACAGCAGTAAAAATACATAGGATATACTGTATGGCTAGTGAATTATAGTGGTATTTTCTAGCAGGATCAATATACAATAAAATAGAATAACAGAGTTGGAAGGGACCTTGGAGGTCTTCTAGTCCAACCCCCTGCTTAGGCAAGAAACCCTACACCACTTCAGACAAATGGTTATCCAACATCATCTTAAAAACTTCCAGTGTTGGAGCATTCACAACTTCTGGAAGCAAGTTGTTCCACTGATTAATTGTTCTAACTGTCCAGAAAGTTCTCCTTAGTTCTAAGTTGCTTGTCCTTGATTAGTTTCCACCCATTGCTTCTTGTTCTACCCTCAGGTGCTTTGGAGAATAGCTTGACTCCCTCTTCTTTGTGGCAGCCCCTGCTATCATGTCTCCCTTAGTCCTTCTTTTCATTAAACTAGACATACTCAGTTCCTGCAACCATTCTTCATATGTTTTAGCCTCCAGTCCCCTAATCATCTTTGTTGCTTTTCTCTGCATTCTTTCTAGAGTCTCAACATCATCATGGTGACCAAAACTGAATGTAGTAATCCAAGTGTGGCCTTACCAAGGCATTATAAAATGGTACTAATACTTCATGTGATCTTGATTCTATCCCTCTATTTATGCAGCCTAGAACTGTGTTGTATTTTTTGGCAGCTGCTGCATACTGCTGGCTCATATCTAAATGGTTGTCCACTAGGACTCCAAGATCCCTCTCACAGTTACTACTGTTGAGCAAGGTACCACATATACTGTACTTGTGCATTTTGTTTTTCTTGCCTAAATGGAGAACCTTACTTTTTTTACTGTTGAATTTCATTTTGTTAGATAGTGCCCAATGTTCAAGTCTGTCAAGATCCTTCTGTATCTTGAGCCTATCTTCTGGAGTGTTGGCTACTGCTGCCAGCTTTGTGTCATCTGCAAATTTGATGAGTTCCCCATCTATCCCCTCATCCAAATCATTGATGAAGATGTTGAAGAGTACTGGGCCTATAACAGAGCCTTGGGGTACTCCACTGCATACTTTCCTCCATGTAGATGCAATTCCATTGAGGACTACACCTTGAGTGCAGTTGGTCAGCCAGTTATGAATCCATCTGGTGGTGGTACTGTCTAACTCACATTTTTCAATAAATAATTTTATATTCAATATATAATTTGAATATTCAAAATATTACTTTCTCCACAAAGCTAATAATGTAGCTCCAAAAAAAGAGTTCCTAGCATTATAAATCCATTTCATTATAATCTTAGAATTTTCTTCCTAGTTAAAAATAAGGTAGAAGAAATAGAGGAAAAAAATGACGGAGGATTATCTGGGCCTCCCATAGAATTATGTGGGTATACAAAGGAGATAACTTGATGGTTCTTTCTGGTAGCACTATAGTCTGAAATTATTACTTTTGCTTGGTTCCCATTTGTCCTGAAAAGCCTCTTCAAGAGAACTTTACATTTCCATGCTGAAAATTTAAAAATACAAAAAACATGGTAGTTGAAAGTAAGATTATAAGAATAAAAGTCAGCTCTACACTAAAGCACTAACCATATATTTTTCAAAATATTAAAAAAAATTATCTAAATATCTTGATTCTATTATGGGAATTCACTTTTTTTAAAAAAGTAATCTCTTCGTGTTCTTTGGCTGAAAATCTGTCAGTTGGTAGCAACTTTTATTTATTTAATAATTTTTACTTGAAAACATATTATACAAAAATAAAAGAGTAGGTTTGTATTTAGCAAGTGTGATTTAGACATCTTTTTCTCATGACTGCATGGGTTTTCTTTGCTTCTTCTACATAGCTTAAATATTACTGTATGCCAAGAAAATGTAGCCCTATGTTATATTAAAAAAATTAAGTGTGTATCCTGGATCCAGTACATACTTGGTAGAGAAGAAACTGCTTGTATGGACTGTCTGTACGGAAAACCTGCTCTTTCCAATATTTGCTGTGGTTCCTCACAGAAATCAAGTTTAAAAGTTTTCTTTTTACTTAAATTTTTTTAGACAAAGATGATAGGAAAGATCTACTTAAAACTTTGAAAATCATTGTTAATCATGTAGTCAGTAATAGGATGGGTGGTTAGTTGAACTGATTCATTGGTGCCAGTTCTATACAACATACCAAAACTGTAATTGTTTGTTTGTTTGTTTGTTTGTGACTTAATATACTGTGTGAACTTTGCCAGTCATGGCCTATTCAAATTGCCATAATTAAACTATGTCTTACCATGTTGTATAGGCTATCCAATTTGGACCCCTTTCATTGAACTATTCAATGAAATAGAAAGATGCTGGTTCTACTGATTTTAGGCAGTCTTGTATATACTTTATCATCCCTATTCTTTTTAATCAAGGCAAATGAACACAGTTTAGAAAGCAAGTTGACTATAAGCTAAATGAAAGCATTCTCAGGAGCTAAAGAATACTGGGTTGTATATTCTTGCATAGTAAGGTTTATAATTGTTTGGAAATAGCAGTACAATTTAGAATTTGAAGTGGCCTATTAGGTCATTAGTGGAGTCCCTTGCTTATTTCAGGAAGTTTAAAACTTGAGACAATATAAATATCATATCTCTGTTTGAAAAACTCCACAAAAAAAAAGCCTATTACTCTTTTAAGGAATAATTCTGTTGTCGAAACCCTTAATTTATAAATATTTTTTAATGTTTAGATGAAATCTATTTTTAACTTTAAAACATGAAATCTAGCCCTCTTTCTGGTCAGCAGAGTTAATTTTTTACTTAACTATCTTTCAAAATATTAGTACAGTGCTGTCATTAGCATCTTAGTTTACTCTTGTCCAGTCTATATATACATATTTCTTCAATATTTTCCATGGCTCTAGTTTATCCAATCTGTTGTGCATCTTTTTTTTTCTTCTGAACTCATTCACTACTTGTCTATATTCTTCTAAAATGAAATTAGGCATTCTAATCTAGCTGGGGTAAATCTGGAATAGGAATCTGAGACTTTTTCTTCTTTAGGGACAGATTATTCCCTGATAAGACTGATGATACCTTAAATTTATGCCAGGAAGTTTCTCCCTTTTTATAACAAGGGGCTATTGAGGATATAATTATGGGGGACTAGTCTTTTGCCTAAATACTTTATCCTTCCTAAGGAGGATTGTGACCTCATACTGTGTTGGACCTTTTCCATTTCATCTATTTTTTGAAAGGGTTATTTCAAGATAATATCAATTGCTTCCACCCTTCCCACTTGCAGAAGGGGTTGTGGTTTTCTTCTATAAAATTTGCAGGGGGATATACTGGGTGCATACTGTACATATCTGTAAAACCCTACTCTCATTGCTTCCACAGCTCTGATGGATTTATTTACTGTAGGATCTTATTATTTGCCTGTTTCATAATCCATGAGTTTTTTTCTTGTTTTCTGAATGTATTTATACATGTAAGTAATGCCATACCTAGAATACAGCATCCAGTTTTGATCACAACATTACAAAAAAGATGTTGAGACTTCGGAAAAAGTGCAGAAAAGAGAAACTAGGATAATTAAAGGCCTGGAGACTAAAACATATGAAGAATGGTTGCAGGAACTGGGTA